AAAAAAAAAAATAATAATTGCTTAAGAAAACATACTTTCTTGCCTTGGTTTGAATAACACCACCTAAAAAAGGATAATCAAAATAGAACAAGCACTTACGACTAAGATAGGCTCTTTCTGAAAAAAGACACATTCTGGGTTTCCAAGGAATACCAACCAATTCTTTTTCACGTCCAAGGATAAAACAAGAAATTGATAAGAAAGGGAATGAATTATCATTTTCTTTTTAAGGATGTAAAGAGTCAGAGCCGCAAGGGGTCAAAACTGTAGCTTTCCCCGTCTACCCTTTGTCGGGCAGTGAGAGACTTGCAAACTGGACGATTCCACCATGCTTTACCCTTTGCCCTGGTTAACTCAAGCCCAAGACAGATGAATTTGGAGACCATCCATCTTTCTAAGGGCCTAAAACAGATTCGTACATCAAGGTTTAGAGTATCAAAATGTCCTGCGATAGTTAATGATAAGCACATCACGCAACACACACACAAGAATAATAAGAACTCGACCCACGTCAGTACACAACTTCATCACCAAGGGTGTCAAATCCACGACTGCTCTCTGTTTTTATTCCTTCAACTAGCCTTGCCAAAACCATAGACCCACATTCCTTCCAGATGGAGATATCATTCATTTAACTTTACGAATTCTCACGAGTTTCAAAAAATCTATAAGGTGTAAATCCTACTAATGTAAGTGATCATCAATCCCCTAATTGTTAGAATTATATTGAGTAGGTTGTTGTTCCAATATCTTATGAACTCAATAACATCCATATAAATCAAAGGGGAAAAATGAAACCGAAAAATTGAAGAATATGAAGATGGAAAATTCAAACATCTCAAAGCAAAAATCACATGTGATGATTTCTCAAGAAACCAGATGTCTCATGACATTTTCTCGCCAAACGTGGAAATCCCAAGTCAATGCAAACAGGTTACCTTTTCTTTTCTTCCTAGGAAATGAGAATTTTTATTTCTACTACTTCCCCATTTTCCGCAATACGAGTTCAAACAGTGTATATCACCCATTACTGACTAACAAGTTCTCAATGAGTTGAACTAGAAGCTGAGAACAGTCAATTCTTCTAGAGTTTTCCCAGCTTGCCAAAGCTTGATACAAATACAGAGCAACAGCACAGAAATCTCTTATGAGTAATAACAAAAGCAAAATCATAATCTAGACATTTGATTCATGTCTGATACTCATCATTCATCTTTGGACATTATCCCTTCCATAAGAGGAAACTACAAGCATAAATAAAACAACACCTTCAATCGCAATTAAGTGTAAAAAAACAGGGACTAATGGATAGTTCCTCAAAACATTGATCAATGAATTATAAAATCAATCACTAAGCAAGTACATCAAGATTAAGAATTAGCTGCAGTTACCAGCCTCACGTTTTTTTCTTATTATGTACAGACAAATGAACACTGACGCCAAAAGCAACGGGGTCAATCAATAAAACCGGTCCTCCGCCAAATGGCATTGCGCACCTGCCTGAGATCCCTTCCTTTCAGAGTCCGGCCAGCCCCCTCCAGCACCGAGCATGACAGCATCGGCGTGTTCCTAGCCGCCACCACCTCATGCGGCGGCAGCAGCATAACCCCACCGTTATCCTCCTCTTCCTCCCCCTCCGACACAACTTCCTCGAGCTCCCTCGCCCTCCTCGCCAGGGCCGCCGGCATCACCGGGACGTTCACCGGCGCGGATTGGGGCTGGAATCGCGTCCTCTCCGACGGCAGGGGAGGCGGAGGCGGACGCTTAGGAATCATTATCATAGCCGGCGACCTCGCGGGGGAGGTGGATGAGGAAGAAGAGAGGGAGGCCGAGGTGGAGGCCCTGTGGTTGAAGACAGGCCGGGAATCGGATCCCGATCCAGATCTGGATCTCGGGCTTTGGTCGTTCAGGGCGGCTAGGATGCCGTGGTGGCCACGGGTATGGCTCGGGAGGACACGGGCCGGATTCCGGCCTGGGCTGGAGCCAGAATGAGTCGACGAGGGAGAAGAGCTCCCCGATGGCGTATTGAAGATGTCGTGCTCGGAAAGCTCGAGCGGTGGCGTGGGGGAAGAGAATTGCAGTCTGGATACACCGAGAAATCGATCCGAAGGGGGAAGGTTGCGCTGGTGGCGGTGACGGCCGGCGCTGCCGCCGCCATGTTCTTCCATTATTGTGTTTAATCTGTGTGGGGAAGGTCTAGAGAGAGACGTCAAAAATGATGTGCGTCAATAATCATACCATATATATATATATATCGCTGAAAGGTTGGTTAATTGAGAGGGGCAATCCTGTGTGGTTGCAAATTTTCAGGGGTTGAAGAACCTCCGCTTAGAAGTGTTGTACGGAGGACTTCATTGGGTAAATTCTATTCTATGATAGAATGTGATTGACCAGGGTACAACCTTAGTGTCGAAACCGCAATGCAGGGGAAAAAAGGGATAGGGACGGCATAAACTGACGAAAAGGTCGTCGGTACTCGGTTGGGCGTCATCCCTTTTAACCATTTCCGCATAATTGTGAAACCAAGGATTTGATTGTTTAGAAATATACTATTATTAATATTTGATTGAACTTTTGTATTAATTATTCTTAAAATGACATGACTCAAATCCATTTGACATAGAAGTAGGAGATACATAATTGATAGTGATAATATAATTAAAATTATGTGACTAGTTGAATAATAAATTAAAATTCAGATGTGTAATAAAAGATAATTGATATTATTTAATTATATTGATAATATTGAAATTGGTGAGTTGAGTTTAAGTTGAAATCTATACTTATATAAAAAGACATTTTATTTACTAGAATTAGTAGTAAAAAAAGTGGTAATTAATACATTCTATTTTCATCAATTATTTTATGTAATTGTTTATCTCATAACACATTTTCAATACATTTTACCATGATTTGTCTATTGTGATTAAAACCAGATTTTACGTTTAAAATCTTGTGAAATTATTATTATTATTTTTATAAAGCACGTATTATTTGTTAAAAAATTGTATATATATATATATTATACACATCACAGTATCATGGTAGATGATTTAAATTTAAACCGACAAAATGTTAATGATTTAAGTTTGAACACGCCTATGCGTTTGACCAAATGTTTGGATAATTTAAAATTGAGTCTGGTAACACAAAACTCCTCGACCGGCTGGAACTTGAGTAATCGCCTTCCTTCTTGCCGGTTGAACGTCGTGCACCTACAAAGAACTCTCACACCGGAGGGGTTTTCCGGT